ACTTGCATGCTGCGGAGTCTTACGATACCCGCGGTGTGGCGGCACGATCTAGGTCCGGAGTTTACTAACGCCCTCTTCGAGGAGATGACCGTGCAGTTGGGCATTCAGGAGAGGACCCCGCCGGCTCATAGGCCGATGGCGGTGGGTATGGGGGAAACGATTCATCGTTCGATGAACTCCCTCATAGCGTTGCTTTTGCAAGACGTTCACAAGGCTTGCGCTTCGGAGTGGGCTCGTGTGCTCCCTTTGGTGCACTACATCATGATGAACACTCCGATTCTCGAGAGTGGATTAGTTCCGAGGGACTTGGACAGGGCGTGGTCTCTGCGAGACCACGTGGAACGAGAGCTTGTTCCGTTCCGGGCGCCCGGGCAGTTGCCCGTGGATGAGTGGGCCAAGAATGTGTTCCGCAATTTTATGACCATTGATTCCACTTTGGCCCGGTACCTAGCAATGACCGAGGAGCGGCGTGCAGAATTGTACGAGCGTGGCCATCTCAAGCGAGATTGGGTGATTGGTGAGAGGGTGTGGCGACACCCCACCATGAGGTCAGGTACCAAGTTCCAGCCTCGCAGCGTCGGGCCGTACGAGCTCAGAGCTATTACGGGCCAGCGAGCCACTCTTGAGAGTGAGGATGGTCCACGGCCGGCCCGAAGCAAGGATCGCCGGGCGCAAGGGGCTACCGCCCCACACTGCGACAGGTAGAGGACTGCAGCTGAAATAGCTGCAAGAGCTCTCCGACTCTCTGGCATCGATCCCGCACCGGCGTCGGACCCTAACGCCGCAGAGTTGAATGCCGGCTCCAAGCGGCCCGACGATCATCTCTGCCGCCGCAGGCCGCGGTGTCTGAACCGCCGGTGGCTACCGAGGCTGCTCCCGAAGCCGCTGCTTCGATGGAGTCTGCCACAGCGTCAGTGGACGAGCAGTACGCTCGTCTAGATGCTGAGGAGGCGGAGCTTCTTGCCGAAGCAGAGGGGCACCCAGCCAGCCCTCTGCGCCGGCAAACGCGCCGGATCCGCCAAGTGCCGGGAGCCATCCTCCCGCGACCAAGGCTCCTCCCCCCCATCTTCGGGCATGCACCGAAGGGAGGAGGCCCAGCAGCAGGGCCGAGGAACGAAGCAGGCGATGGGCCGACCTCCACCCCCGATGCTTGCTGGCGGAGCGACTCTTGCTGCCCTAGCAGCCCTAGCAGCAATGTGGGACGGGTATCGAGTTATCCGTCCCCACGCGGAGGAGGTGGGTAGCGGTCGTCGCCGAAGAGGTGGCCTATGCTACTTCGTCGGCGATTCGCTTGGGCAACTGTTACTGCCCTCCGCGGCATGAGGTGGTCCTTAGGGTCCAAACTACGCCTCAGCCTGACCGGCCTCGGGAAACGCCGCATCTTCTTTCGCCGCTGCTGTGCCGCTCCTTACACCGGCCGCTGCTGACGCTTGGAGGCCGGACCCCGCTACCCGCCAGGGCCTTGTGAGAGTGGGACTTAGGTTAGGGGATCTTAGTAGGGATGAGCGGAGAGAATGTGCGGCCTATTTGTGGTCCATGGTGGACCAGGCGCAATCCGAATTTAGACCTGTTCGAGTGTATGGGTTGAATGCAGCCGGTCGGACAGTGTTGCACCAAGAATGCGCATCTAGACGCCTGAGTCACCACACCAGTGGCGACAAGACATTTATGACCTTTTGGCATGACGATTGGGTCATGCACAAGAGCACCGAAGCTAATGCTTCGAGTGAGCCTGCTGAGGCTCAGCTACTCCCGAGTCGAAGCGCCCCGGAATTGCCTGTTGCTGCTTTGCAGGCTCAGGAATCTCCTTCGGGAGCTTTGTCAAAAAAGAGCATGCGTTCTACGGCATCCGGTGGAGCCGAGTTTTTGAATTGGCGTTGCTTCGACGGGAGTGTGACAGCCCGAGGAGGTCTTTGGATGCCTCAACTCGTCGCGAGCAGGGTTTAGCAACCCAGCTTCGGGCTCATCGCGTGGTCCAAGAGCAGACTCAAGATGGTCGAGTCGTGCCTTTGGCGATATTAGATTATTAGATGCTGCGCCTCCGGCGCGAGGTGGAGACGTTCAAGTTTCGCTTCACCCGGACTCCAGTTTTCTGGGTCCCTTGTTGCAGCTGGTCAACGACGCTTCGTGCGTCGAGCTCCTGCTCACCGCGTTCACATACGACGATCCAGAGCTCACTGCAGCTGCTACCGCGGCCAGGCTGCAAGGGGCCGAAGTTCGACTGCTTATCGACTTACAGAAGGCCCAGGCTTGCAAGGAATCGGGTAGGATTCTGCAGCAGCTCTTGGATGCACAGATCGAGGTCCGCACGACGTGCGGGTGATCCCTCTCCGAGGTTTACGGAGGTAGCTTGAGAGGTTTCAAGGGAGCCCTCCACGCTAAAACCGCCCTGGTCCGAAGCCGTGCTTCGGGAGGCGCGGAAGATGGAGTTGCCTTGTTTGTGGGTTCCCACAATCTCACAAAAGCATCCCCTGCTAATCGCGAGTTTGTCACTGAGCTGCGGATGCCCGTGGCCGACACTCGCGTTGCAACGTACCGTTCTTGGTACGAGGGCATGTGGAGCTCCTCCGAGGGGATACAGGTGGAGACTGGCGCTGCGCCAAGTCGCCGCGTGCGAGGCAAGAACGCCCCGCAAAGCGACGCCGCCAAGTGAGTGAATCTTTGAAACCCGGGGCACCCCGCCGTAGCGTGCTGAAGAGATTCGTGCAAGCGTTTGTCCGCCAGTCGCCGTTGCAGTTCAAGTGACGCGCCCTGCTGTGGCGCTGATCTTCAGCAGTAGCTTCTTTTGTGCGAT